ACTGTGTGTGTGTAACTGTGTAACCAGAGACTGTGTCAGTGCTCCTATCCTATCATATCCAAACAATACATTTGCATGTTTTTTTTAAACAGAATGACTCAGCACACGAGCGCGATGCACGTTCTTCATCTAGAGAGAGGGTGAGTCTCATGTTTGTCTTTCTAGGTTTGAACATTAGACACACTTGACTCTCTGATATTTACATATCTCTAAGAAGTTATTCACCAGAGAATGCATTATCACATGTAATAATATATATTACTGATTCTCTTGCAGATTACTGGGCCTTCCCTAAATCGTCTTACCCTGCTACTACCTTTTCTACAGAATCCAGCACTTCTGCAGAATTCAACGCTCCTTGCTTTGCTTCTTGCTGCTATACGATAAGCTGCTCCTTAACCAACAGCTATTACTGCCACAAACCAACAATGAATAAAAACCTATGTTGAATTGCACTGGGGTTCTTTTGTCATTTATTTACAGGATTATTGAAAATCAGTGCTTATTTTTGAGTGACTCTGTCTTAAACTAAGATTAAAAATGTTGTTGTGCCAACAGTGCAGTGTAGCTAGCTGAACGCTACTTCTTCACTATGTACAACTCTGGATACTGTAGCTCTTCTGAAAAAGAAAGGCTTCAACCAGTACCTGATTCCCTGGTATACCTCTCAAATTGGCACCTTAAAGCACATAATGTTGCTTGTTTTGCTTTAGTTTTTCTCTTTTCTAAACTGAATCTTGACTTTTTCTTTAGTCTTTCTGCTCACTGTTGTGTTTGGTAGCTGCAAAATAAAGTTCATCAGTGAAAATCAGGCAGACACAAAATTTGTTTTGGGTTTTTCACAAACACCTTTTTATTGTACAGTTTGGCCCATAATGTCACGGTCCTGGGTCGGATCAACCCAGCATTTTGAGTTCCTTATGCTTTGGTTTATTTTTGAATTATGAATCTGTGTTTCAGTTATTCTGGTATGTTTTTGCATTATGACTAAGGTTCGGGTTGTATTTTGTTATTATTGCCGGTTTAATTCAGCGTCTAGTCTGTCTTACTTTGTCGAGTCCGTGTCCTTGTAAAGTGTGTCTTGTTTCCTGTTTTACTTTGAAGGTTCATGTTCCTGTCTTTGTCAGTGTTTCTAGCTTTATTCCCCCTGTCTTGTTAGGTCTTATCCCTCCCAGCTGTTCCCCTTGTGTCTTTAATTCCTTGATGACTCCTTCAGTGTGTTTAAGCCCAGTGTGTCTTTGTGTCAGTGTGGCATCGTTAACGTCTGTTCATCCTCATACCACCCTGTGTGTTCTGTTTGCCTGCCTGCTAGTTTGTTTGCATTCCAGTCTAGTTAGTTCTTTGTTCAGTCTGCATTCCCACAATAAAGCTGAGGGTTTTGAGTACACCTGTGCCTCTGTGAGTCCTGCTTTTTGGTCCACCTTTCCTGCCTGCCTTCACACAGCCATGACACAGAAGTTTTTGGACAAAGCTTTTGTCATTTTTCCTACTGAAAGTAGCTGTACATAATGTTACATCTGTGAGATGATTATGGGCAATTTTTTTCTTCAATGTTTAAAATTTTACACGTGAAGAAATTCACAAAGTCATCACTAGTTGACGTTAAACGACTGTTGGCTCAACAGAGCCCCGGGTTTTCTCAGTCTGGCTAGAGTGTTATAGAGAAACCTATGGTTGTTCTTATTTCCATCAATCAGTGATGAATAGTAAGATGTTCTCTAGTATTATTATATAGCCTTTTTTTATACAGATGCAAACTGGCTTTCCAGGCTAAACGATGATCTTCTAAATTAGTAAGGTGCAATTTCTTCTGCAGCATACGAGTTACAGCGGTCCCTTGCTATAATGTGGTTCACCTTTCACGGCCTCGCTGTTTCGCAAATGTTTTTTGGTAGAATTTTGCATAGTTTGTTTTAGTTTTTGTTTGCACAGCGCATTGTGTTCTGCGTCCAATCTTGTGCCGGGTTTCCTGTACAGTACAGAATGCGTTCAGCTTGTCAAATTTACAAAAATCTTCGATCGCTAGCAGTGTGACTCTGAAGTGCTGTACTGCATGTTTGTAAGTTTTCTCCCCAACAAACACAACAATGTTGACGAAATGTTTTGCACCGTCAAAGGCACCTGCGGTAGCACCCAAAAGGCAGAGGAGGCTGCTAACAATCGCACAAAAAGTTGGACTTCTGGACATGCTAACGGAAAGTAGAAATTACCATATTTTTCAGATTATAAGGCGCATTAAGCGAAACAAAACAGTCCGAAAAGTCAAACTTTACACAACTCATTCTTCTTGCTTCCTCTACTTCTGTACCATTGATGCATTAATGTTGAATTCTCTTGCAGCTGCTCTGTTCCCATGTTCTAGACCTGAAAACAGTTTTTTAGCCTTGATTTCATTCTGGAATACTAGACTTGTTTTTCTACAAAGATTTGAACTTTGAGTGTTTAAACAAGAGAGAAAAGCGTAAAGATGTTCATGCTTGTCTGAGAAAAGTGTATAGTGTGTAGTGAAGGGTTTTACAGCCTTAAAACATCTATAATAATTGTAAAAAAAAAAAAAGAGAGAATACAGTTGGCTACTTCAGCGATTTCAGCTATCGTAGGTTATTTTTTAGAACGTAACTCCCACGATAAATGAGGGACCACTGTATCAGCTTTAAGGTGCACTGTTAGATTTGTATTGTTCATTATCATTTATGCTTAGAAATATTTACTCATATGCTTAGAAGTATATAATCATTTGTTGAAAGAATGTGTCATCCTAGGAGGTCTGTAACAACTGTGTAGCATGAAGAGGGGGGTGTGTTCATTCCTCTACAGTGTTCTGTAGGGGTGCAACGATACACAAAATTCACGGTTCGGTTCGGTTCGATACTTTGGTGTCACGGTTCAATATTTTTTCGATACAAAAAAAACGTTCATGCCTTTTTAATTTGTCATTTATTAAAATTATAAATATATATTTTAACTCAAAAGTACAGTTCTTACATTTAACCCTAACCCTTGTGTGTTTTTTATTTTGACAGCGAATGCGCACCTGCGGACCACTTATGTGCACCCCTGGTTATTTAGCTCGTCATATTGCAGCCACAGAAATTATTTTGTCCATGAAACCATAAAGCTGCACTTTCTTTTTGCCTTATAGTCTGATTTGTCATAACTTTTCCGTTTTGTGGTAAGCTTTTCTTTGGCTGTCACTTCTTCACCCTGACGTGTCTTATTTGGCTCAGCAGAACTAAAATATATATCCTGCTGCTTTTACACACGCACTCACATAAGCTCAGCGATTCTCTGCACGATCAACCTCTCACATGTTTAAGCTTGCTGCGGGAGATTTCACTTGTCATGTTTGCATAGTAAGCTAACGATTAATAAGACGATGTCAGAGGAATTGGTGCACAAATTATCATCACTCACAGATCAGTGCTGTCGCTCTCTATACACAGTTCGCACGATTGCAAAGTGAAAGCAAAAAAACAACAAATTCAAACGCGATTTCAATATGTCACATATTGACAGTGGCTCACCGATGCCAATGACATAATTACCCAGCTACATTTCTGAAAGAATGCAAAAGCACTGACATATATTTTTCCTTCCTACAATAGCCCGACGGGCAGGGAAGAGATAGATTTTGCTAGCCCGACTGAAAAAATCGCTAGCCCCGGGACGTCGGGCTAGCGATATTGCAAGCCCTGTATCTGATTGAGGAATCACTCATCTTTGGAAAAGAGAGTTTATTACAGAGAAATGGCTCTTTCCAAAATAAAAACTATACTATCCGCTTCTTCTGGGCTATATTCTCAGCAGCATAAGGAGAATCATGTGCTAACAGCTGTCTAAATGACTCGGCTAAATTTAGTAGCATGCTTGTTGTTTTTGTCTTTGCACTAGGATGATGTCGGCGTAAATGTGCAGTCATATTCGTTGTGTTCCCACTAGTGCTTTCAGGTTAATCTTGTTGAAATGACCTTAACGCCACAACACGGCAAATCTCCGTTAACGAGCTACCGCCGATCGCCCCGTGCATGGGGCTAGACGGCCAACACTTAACAAGCTAACTGCGCTAACACACTAGTTCCCACCCATGTAATTGAGCATTGCATGCCACATCCAACATACTGTTTTACTTTAGTCCATGACTCGCTTACCTTCAGGGTCATACGTCACATGAAAACCAAAATAATTCCAAACGCCAGATCTGAATGAGGGTGGGGGAGGTTCAATTTGCCATGTTGCAAGGAGAGCTTAACTTCTGTCTTGCTAGCTTGCCCTGCGCTCTTCCTTCTGACGATGCTGTCTGTGTTTAACGCTCAGTGGATCTGCGCTCGACAGTGCAGCCTAGGCGGAGTAGTCGAACGCAGATTCACTGAGCGCTCAACACAGACAGCATCGTCAGAAGGAAAGTTGATAAAATAAATTACAAATGTTGTATTGTTCGATACATATGCGTACCGAACCGAAAGCACTGTATCGAACGGTTCAATATCGATACGAATACCTTTGCACCCCTAGTGTTCTGGCATAGATCACACACCTCCTAGGAGAGGTCGTATCTTCTCTTGCTGATATATGGTATAGCAAACACACGTATATCTGTTTGAGTGTAAGAGCCTTTTGTTTAGATGGACCACTAGACTCCTGGCACACACACACAACGCACGGTACTCTTTGTGTGTATGAAACGTCATATGTTAATGAACCTATGCATATTCATGTAACCACAATAAAAGGAGTGCTATGGGGAACCTGGCTGAGAGTCTGACGGAGGTCAAGTGGGTGGAACGACACTTGGCTCCAGGTCGGTCTTCTTCGTGTTATTGGGTAATGATCAGACAAAATGATTTGGGAGAAACTGCATGAACAAGGAGATGTCGTTTATATTGACTAGAATAATCTGTTCTTGTTTTTTTTTTTTTTAACTTTTTTTAAAACAGAGTCACTCAGAAATAAGCGGGGATTTTCAATAATCGTGTAAATAAATAAAAAAATCCCAGTGCAATTTAACATAGGTTTTTATTCATTGTTTGTTCGTTTTCAATTCCTCCTTTGTGGCAGTAATAGCTGTTGGTTAAGGAGCAGCTTATCGTATAGCAGCAAGAAGCAAAGCAAGGAGCGTTGAATTCTGCAGAAGTGCTGGATTCTGTAGAAAAGGTAGGAGCAGGGTAAGACGATTTAGGGAAGGCCCAGTAATCTGCAAGAGAATCAGTAATATATATTATTACATGTGATAATGCATTCTCTGGTGAATAACTTCTTAGAGATATATAAATATCAGAGAGTCAAGTGTGTCTAATGTTCAAACCTAGAAAGACAAACATGAGACTCACCCCCTCCCTAGATGAAGAACGTGCATCGCGCTCGTGTGCTGAGTCATTCTGTTTAAAAACAAACAGTTTTATACAGTCTCTGGTTACACAGTTACACGCACAGTGCAAGATATATCATTCTACAGTCATGTTACACTTACAGGATTTGCCAGAGCAAGGCTCAGCAGGCATCCAAGCAGAAACACAACCTTGATCATGGTTTCAGTGATTTCACCTGTTAACAATATTTCAGATGAGATGTGGTGAAAACCATCTGCAAAATCACCATTCAACCAACATTATACTGAAAACAGAGAAGCAATAAGAGATTGATGAGAAATGTTACCGTCAGGTCTTCACAACTTCAGCAGACTGTCTCAGAGATGTGGATGATTGTGGTAATGTTGTACTGACAGCAGAGCTTTTTATACACAGTTGCAAGAGATGATTTAATCTCATTTGCGTAACTGTTGGGAAACTGTAATTCTTAGAAAAACGTCTCATCTTAACAAGGGTAAACACAATTAGGCAACAATCAGGGACACACCTGATTAATCTTTTTGCTGCAACACAGTGATGTGAGATTGACCAGGTATGAGTCACATACAAAACTAACTGTTGTTTGTATATGTTCCTTTAACCCTTGTGTGCCCGCCTGTTCTCGGGGCATGGGTCGTGGTGACCCCCCGAGGTGTGTGTGTGTGTGTGTGTTGTTATTAGGATGGTATTGATGATGATGATGATGATGATAGGGTGGGGGTCGCTAGCGACCCCCTCGGGGCATATGTGTGTTATGGTGATTAGGGTGGGGGTCGCTAGGACCCCCCCGGGGTATATATGTGTTATGATGATGATGATGATGATGATAGGATTGGGGTCGCTAGGACCCCCACGGGGCATATGATGATGATGATGATGATAGGGTGGGGGTCGCTAGGACCCCCTCGGGGCATATATGTGTTATGATGATGATGATGATGATGATAATGATAGGGTGGGGGTCGCTAGGACCCCCTCGGGGCATATATGTGTTATGATGATGATGATGATGATGATGATGATAGGGTGGGGGTCGCTAGGACCCCCTCGGGGCATATGTGTGTTATGGTGATGATGATGATAGGGTGGGGGGGGGTCGCTAGGACCACCGTGGGGCGCTTGTGTTATCACGGCGTCGGTGGCGTCTGGGGAGCGGCGGTGCGGAAGAAGCGGTGCAGTTGGGACAGTACGTGACGGCGCAGTTTGTACACACGTGCACTCGGCACTCGCGGCACAGGATCTTGGTCTTGACGTCTTTGCTCCTGGGACACACACGGCACCTTCGCCTCTTGACCGGAGAGGAGTCGCGTGGCGTAGCGTTAGAGGCTGCCTCGGCGGTAGCGCCTCAGGCCGCGACTCTGCCGCCTCCTCCTCCTCGCGCTAAAGCCCTGGCTTCGAGCATGGGGCGCGCGAGCGCTTTGCCCAGTCGCTCGAGGAAGAGCCGTCGTCTGTTGAGCTTGCCCGGCATCCAGTCGGGGTGAATTTCCCTCCACAACACGAACGCGTTGTAGGCCGCCACGTCGACCATGTTGTGGAAAAGGGCCACGGGCCACCTGCGGGTCTTTCTCCTGCAGCTGTACGTGCTCACGACCTTGTCCAGGTTGTCGACGCCTCCCTTGGTGCGGTTGTAATGCAGCACCAAGGGCGGTTTTGCGCCGCTTCTGTCGCTGCTTTTGTTGCCGCCGCCGCTGCTGCTGCTGCTGATGATGCTGTTGCTGTCGCCGATGCGGCGGCTAGGCCGGGGCTCGGGGCCGGAGCGATGGTGGTAACGGGGAGCGGTGGTGAGGAGCAGCACGTTCTTGTTCTTCTTGGCCACGTAGGAGAGGATGATCGTGTCGAGCCCTCTTCCTCCTCCTCGTCCTCGTCCTCCTCCTCGTCCTCGTCCCGCTTAGCCGCGGAGTACTACAGATTCGACGGAGCCCATGGCCCTGCCCTTGCCGCAGCGCAGCTCTCTGGGGATCTCGTGTCTGTTCAATCGCAGAGTGCCCAGCACGGTGTGGCCTCTCTCGCGATAGAGCCTGTCGGCGAGCTCGCGCGAGATGAAAAAGTTGTCGCACGTGACGCTGCGTCCCGGAGTCAGTCCCTCGGTGAGGTCCACGACCACTCGAGTGGCCAGGTGCTTTTCGGGAGGGCCGCGCTTGTTGGGCTTGCCGGTGTAGACTTGCATCTTCCACGCGTAGCTGGAACGCGCGTCGCACGCCACCCATATCTTGATCCCGTACCTGGCCGGCTTGCTGGGCATGTACTGTCTGAACGGACACCGTCCTGATGGAGAGAGAGAGAGAGAGAGAGAGAGAGAGAGAGAGAGAGAGAGATGGAAATGGGGAGAGAGAGAGATGGAAATGGAGAGAGAGAGAGAGAGAGAGAGATGGAGAGAGAGAGAGAGATGGAGATGGAGAGAGAGAGAGAGAGAGAGAGAGAGAGAGAGAGAGATGGAGAGAGAGAGGGAGAGAGAGATGGAGAGAGAGAGAGAGATGGAGAGAGAGAGCGAGAGAGAGATGGAGAGAGAGAGAGAGATGGAGATGGATGGATGGAGAGAGAGAGAGAGATGTGAGAAAGTGTGGGGGAGATTGGGGCAGAAACACAAGGAGAAGAGACGTGAGTTTGACAGAGAACGCGCTTGCTTGCTTGCAAGCGTGGAAGACATAAAGAGTCATGCGAAAGCACAAACGCGGAACCCAACACGAATATACAACGAAGCGAACTAGCCTGTTTTCGCCATTCCCGCTCCTATTCCTCCTCTCTTATCCCAGTCACACACACACACACACACACCACGTACGTACCTCTGAACGGCACCAGTCTCTCGTCGACGGTGACCTCCGGTCCCGGGCGGTACATGGCGGGCAACCTCGCGCACCACTCATCCCACACGGCTCTGATGGGGGCCAGTTTGTCGTAGCTATCGCCGACGCCGTTGCCCTCGCCTCGCCCGGCCTGTCTGGTCTCTCTGTCGTCGAAGCGCAGCGCGCTCGAGTAGGCTCGAAAAGTCTTGAGCGGCATCGTGGCTCTGAACACGGACCTGCCGCTCTCGGCGTGCCACAGGCTCTCGCAGGCCTCTCGAGGACATCTTCTTTTTCTTCTTCTTCTTCATCATCATCGGCGAGGACGTCTTCATCTTCTTCTTCTTCTTCTAATTCTTCTTCTAATTCTTCTTCTTCTTCATAGTCTTTGTCTTCTTCTTCATCGTCATCGTTATAATCATCGGCGAGGACATCTTCTTCTTTTTCTTCTTCTTCTTCATCATCATCAAATCAAATCAAATCACTTTTATTGTCACATCACATGTGCAGGCACACTGGCACAGCACATGCGAGTGAAATTCTTGTGTGCGAGCCCCACAAGCAACAGAGATGTGCAAACACAACAACACAAACGAGCAAAATACAAGAATGGCCAACCTGAAACTAATAAATATATGTACAATATATAATAGTGTATGCATTTCTGGATGTGTATACTAAATATTTTCCTACGTGTGTGTGTGTGTGTGTGTGTGTGTGTGTGTGTGTGTGTGTGTGTGTGTGTATACACATTTTTACAAACTAAATAGTAAAAATAATAATAATAATAATAATAATAATAATAATAATAATAATAATAATAATAATAAAATATATAAAATATACAGAGTTGAATATGTGCAAAACAAGTGGCATTTATATACAGTGTGGAGTGCATAATGTTGAAGTTCCAGTAGTGAAGCTGAGGTGTCTATGACGTGTTCAGCAGTCTGATGGCCTGGTGGAAGAAGCTGTCTCTCAGTCTGCTGGTACGGGACCGGATGCTGCAGAACCTCCTTCCTGATGGAAGCAGTCTGAACAGTTTATGGCTGGGGTGACCTTGATGATCCTCCCCGCTTTCCTCAGGCAGCGCTTCCTGTAGATGTCTTGGAGGGAGGGAAGCTCACCTCCAATTATCCGTTCAGAGCACCGCACTACTCGCTGGAGAGCTTTGCAGTTGTAGGCGGTGCTGTTGCCATACCAGGTGGTGATGCATCCAGTGAGGATGCTCTCAATGGCACAGTGATAGAAGGTCCTGAGGATGCGGGGGCTCATGCCGAATCTTTTCAGTCTCCTGAGAAAGAAGAGGCGCTGCTGCGCCTTCTTCACTGTTTTGTTTGTGTGTACTGACCACGTAAGATCCTCAGCCAGATGTACTCCAAGGAACCGGAAGCTGCTCACTCTCTCCACAGCAGCGCCGTTGATGGTGATGGGGGTGTGTACTTCTCTGCACCTCCGGAAGTCCACTATCAACTCCTTTGTCTTTGCGACGTTGAGGGTGAGATGGTTGTCTTGACACCAGTGGGTCAGGGCGCTGACCTCCTCCCTGTAAGCCGTCTCATCACCGTTGGTGATAAGACCCACCACTGTAGTGTCGTCCGCAAACTTCACAATGATGTTGGAGCTGTTAGTGGCTGTGCAGTCGTAGGTGTAGAGTGAGTACAGGAGAGGGCTCAGTACACACCCCTGTGGAGCACCAGTGTTCAGTGTGATGGGGGATGAGGTGATGCTGCCCAGTCTGACCACCTGGCGTCTGTCAGACAGGAAGCTAAGGATCCAGCTGCAGAGGGAGCTGCTCAGTCCTAGATCCTGCAGTTTCCTGTCCAGCTTCGAGGGAACGATGGTATTGAATGCTGAGCTGTAATCTACAAACAGCATCCTCACATACGTGTCTCTCTTCTCCAGGTGTGACAGGGCAGTGTGTAGTGTCAGGGCTATGGCATCATCAGTGGACCTGTTGTGGCGGTATGCAAACTGTAGAGGGTCCAGTGAGTCGGGTAGTGCAGAGCAGATGAAGTCCCTGACCAGCTTCTCGAAGCATTTGCTTACGATGGGGGTCAGGGCTACAGGTCGCCAGTCGTTCAATGAGGAGATGGTGGAGGATTTGGGTACAGGGACGATGGTGGCCATTTTGAAGCAGGCTGGGACTACAGACAGAGAGAGGGAAAGGTTGAAGATGTGCGTGAACACTCCAGCCAGCTGAGCCGCGCATGACCTGAGGACGCGGCCGGGAATCCCGTCCGGACCAGTAGCTTTGCGTGCGTTCACCTTCCTGAAGCACTTCCGCACATCCTCCTCAGACACAGTGTGCGCACTGACGTCATCCGCGGTGCGCACACTGTCCGGTCTCATGGTGTTCGCTGTGTCGAATCTAGCGTAGAATACGTTTAGATCTTCACATAGAGAGGCCGTGGTCTGCGGTGTGCTGGTTTTCCCTCTAAAGTCTGTGATCGTGTTTAGTCCCTGCCACATACTCCGAGGGTTGTCAAACTGTTGCTCCACCCTGTCCCTGTACTCACGTTTGGCTGCTTTGATCGTCTTCCGGAGTTGGTAATGTGCGTGTTTGTAGTCCGATGTGTTCGCGGAGGCAAAGGCGGTGTTCCGTGCCGCCAGTGCCGCGCGAACATCTCCGTTAATCCAGGGTTTTTGATTTGGGAAGGATTTGACTGTTCTGGATGGGACGACATCTTCCACGCATTTCCTGATAAATCCACAGACTGAGTCTGTGTATTCATCAATGTCTCTGGCGGCCACGTGAAACATTTCCCAGTCCGCGTGATCAAAACAGTCCCGCAGCGCATCATCATCGGCGAGGACGTCTTCGTCTACTTCTTCTTCTTCATAGTCTTTGTCTTCTTCGTCATCGTCGTAGTCGTAATCGTCGGCTACATCCGCGTCGCGAGTTTCACCGACAGCGCCGCGGCCGCGATCGCGCCCAGGATCATGAACGCCACCTGCAGCGCGGCCGGCGTCGTCCTCTTGCCAAATCTCCCGAGTCCCCTGCCCCGGGTCGGCGCCTGCTTCTTCTTCCTCTCCCTCTCGGCGGTTCGACTCGCCTTGCGAGCCGCCGTCCTGGCAGAGTTGCGACGCCATTTCGTAACCGCGATCCTCTTCCCCGGAATACCTATCCACCCCATCGTTTTTGTCCTCCTGATCCTCTGAGTAGCGCTCCTCCTCGTCGTCTGCGAGCGTTCGGGCCGTCGGGTCGTCGTTGTCGTCCCCCTCGGCCTCTTGCTCCTCTTCCTCCTCACTCTCGTCCTCCTCCAAGTTCTCCTGTAGCTGCTGCTGCTGCTGCTGCTGCTGCTGCTGCCGCCGCCGCCGCTGTTATGATATTTTGATACCACGGTAAGCATTTACAGGATATTGTTTTATACAGGAAAACTGTTACTCAATAAGGCCGATCTACTAGTTGTTTTTCTCTTTCTCTGTGACCCAAGAATTAATGTGTAGGACTCACAAGCTGGTACCTCAAGGTCGAAAACACCACAGAGATGAGACCACTTCCTTACTCCCATCCTCCCTTTTTCTTTATCTCCTGGAAAAGGCTCGTTAAAGGCTAGGTGGTTTGTTTCAGAATTCACTAATGAAAGAACTCTGTATTTTATGTCTAGGAGTGTATTTTGCTGGGATGATCATAAATTATAGCTGAACTGATAAACTACACAAGGGATACTTTGCTCAGAAGGCAGGAAGACGTTTCCTTATTTAGTCTGTACCGGTTTGAACTGGGAAAGCTGACACACGAACCTTTTTTTCTCTATATAAACTGCTGTGTATCAAATAAACCTTTGAGTTGATTCTGGGAAAGCAATCTGAACAGTTTCTGTATCACTTTGTTCTCCTAACTGCTCCCGATATCGTAACTAACCCCGCTGAACGGCATACCTGAGTGTTACTTTGAATAATTAGGAGTCTTATAAGGAAAGGACAAACTCTGCTTATCGCTCACGCCACGGAGGAAACCCGGGAAGGCAATTTCCTTCAATCTTGGTGTCAGAAGTGGGATTCCTGACAGAAGGTAAATATGCGTCTTTCATATTTATATAAAGACCTATTATACCTCTCTCAGTGATCGATCCATAAAGAAACGGGATATGCTGACGAAGTTTCACTTAGTGATCCAGAGAGATACACTGACTGACTTCCTCAGTCCCCGAATAAAGTAAATTAACCCTTGTGTGGTGTTGGTGGACACAGAAAGTTGCCTGTTGTCTTGAATATTTTAATTTTGTTTAAGAAATAATAATAATTAATTGTTTAATTAAACGTACGTTAAAAAGTGAGAAGTTGCTCACTTAGAAAAGTGACACAGAAAGTTGCCTGTTGTCTTAAATACTTCTCGTTAAGTGAGAAGTTGCTCACCAAAGAGTGACACAGGGAGTTGCCTGTTATCTTGAAACGTACGTTAAAAAGTGAGAAGTTGCTCACTCACAGAAAGCTAGTAAATAATTAAATTTAATTTTGTTAAAAAAAAACAAAAAAACAAAAAAACAAAAACGAAAGAAAACTGAAAACGGGTCTCACAGACCCGATTACCATACAAGGGTTAAAAGCAGTAAATTAAAAGCAGAAAGACACAGGAAGTTGCCTGTTGTTTTACGAGAAGTTGCTCGTTAAGCGAGAAGTTGCTCGCTAAGTGAGAGTTGCTCACACAAACAAAAATTGCTAGCAATAAATTTAAAGTAACCTCAGCTGTGCCGCAGCGAAAATACTAACATAAATCCTTCAAGCGTGTAAACCCCTCTGGAAATCACTGAACATGGGTCAGAATAATTCAAAAACCACAGACAAGTCCGATAAAAAATCAAAATTACCTGTAAAACCAACAAAAATTAAATTTAAAGTCTCAAACAACAGCTCAGTACGACTCCCATTTCCGGTTACGTGTAACCCACGTCCACGAATCGGCGAAGACTTCCATGATTACGTATCCAGAACATGCGGGAGTGCTTATGTGACTGACTTTGTTTACAACTTACGGACTATAAGTTCAATGCATTCTAATTTATTTCCGGAGCCTTATCCCGAACGATTATCGCCAGAAAACAGGTCAGTAGAAATGTTGAATATCATTTGTGATAAGAAAAGTAGTCTGCTTAAAAAGTCCTGTAGAAAATATATGATAGAATGCCGCGACGTGATGCATCAAATGTTACCACTATGGAAAAAGGGACCGGAACCAGGTGTAGATACTTTTACATCAAATAAAACTAGTGCAGGCTCCAGCATAGAAAATAAATCTACCGCGGGAAAAGCTAGTCTTGCATGCTCAGCCATTCAGCCCACAGCCCCACCGCCATACGAAGATGAGACCGAATTAATAGTTGCTGCAGCAGCCGCATGCAAACAACGTCAGCGCTTTGATCCAACCAGCTTAAAAGACAGTGACACAAAACCTGAATCACATGCAACGGGTCTCAGCCACCTAATTGAACAAGATCAGGAAAAACAATATATACGCCGCGAGGAAGAATTAGCAGAACATAGAAAGAGAGAAAAACTTTTGAAAGAAGAATGTGAGGAACTTATGAAAAACAATTTAGACGTCTATGAAGAAAAACTTTTGCATCAGGCAGTGTCCACAATAGACACCCACATGAAACGCCATGATTTCGTAGCTAGAGGTTTAGAGGTAGCTAAAGAAATACCTGTTACCCGAACTTTAATAAAGACTTATCTAAAAGAAAAAAAGGAAAAACAAAGCCGGAATGACAAAGGTCCTCACGCCAACACTCGCGGTAGTAAACAAACAGACCCAAAATCTGGTGACGTCAATGATGCTTACCCCTTTATGATAATAGGAGATCAGTGTTGTATTCAGCCCCCTAAAATCTCAGAATTAGTGACAACTATTAAAGAGCTTCCCAATCCTCTTAAAAATCCTACAGCCTTTGTCTCTGCACTACAGAGAAGTACCAGATATCACCATTTGGGTGGTCCGGATTACAGGTACATATTGTGTCAATGCATTCCTGGAGTAACCGAGTCACAACTCATAGAAGAGATAGGTGAATTAGACCCAAAGCATGATAAAGCATCCACAACTGCAGAGTTTTTGTGGGTAAATAATGACAAAGTCGCCGATTTCTTTAAGAATCTAAAGAAATTCCTGCTCACAATGTCCAGAGACAAAATTGACTTAAATGCAGTAACTATGTGTAAACAGAAGCCTGATGAATCTATCCTAGTATTCATAAAACGCTTTATGCACTGTTGGACTGATGAGGCATGCATGCCAGAGTATGGTAATGATCAGATTTTCATCACCACCTTTTTGAACAATATCCACCCAGAATGCTCTCAGTTGCTAAAAGTGACAGCTACTAATAATCTCTACGAATTGAGTAAAGATGCTTTCTTAAAGCTTGTACAACTGAAGGCCAGTGCAGACCTTTTTCCTACTATCACAAAAGCTAACAGTGTTAAGATGATGTTGAATTTTGATGTTCAAGGCTCAGAGGAAAGTGAGAAATTAATGTATGCAGGACCACCCGCTCCAGCACAGCAAGGAAGTTTCAGAGGACGGAATGGTAAGAATAGAGATGTTTGTTTTTATTGTGGAAGGGTAGGACACTGGTCCAGAGAATGTCGCTTTGCAGCCACCAACAGGGCACACACGCCTCAACCACAGAACGCAGTACAAGTTCCCGCCACTAGGCGTCAGCAGAGCTCTTCCAGTCAAGGTAACTGGCAACCACAAGAAGCATGCAATAATGGCCCCACATCTAGGCCGCAGCCTTACAACCCACATTATAACCCACAAGGCAGACAAGCTAGAGGTGCAAATTTAGCTCAGTTTTCCAGTAACCGCAGACACCCAGAGCATGAATCAGAATGGGAAAGGGTGCGTTACAATTCTCACCATGATCTTTTCCCATCACCTGATAATCCCCGGCTGGGTCGCTACTAGGGAGGCCCAGGTGAGGATGAGGGACAGCAGTGTGAAGCACTACACACGATGCTGCATCTGCAGCTGTCCCCTAACACAGAACATTTGCCCATGCTACAAGTAGAAATAGATGGTAAGAAATACCCATTTTTAGTGGATAGTGGAGCCACTAAAAGTTCACTGTCTGGGAAATTCTATAATGGGCCTGTGTCCTCTGTGTGCATCAACACTATGGGAATTAATGGAACTGTAGTGCAATGCCCTAAAACTCATTCTCTAAAGACACGTTGGGGCTCTAAACCAGATGAAATCACATATCATCCATTTGTAATTATTCCAAACTCGCCTGTGAATTTATTAGGCAGAGATTTAATGGCAAAAATGAATTTGTGTATTTCATTTAACACAAAAGGTGAAATGTTTGCTGATACTGATAACAGCTATGTTTTCTCTGCCTTATGTACCATGGAGAAGGAACAGCCTCTGTGTCAGCTGGACGGCTCAGCAGAGAATGAACTCAACACCTTTTTGTCTGGTATTCCACGACACACACTGTGCCAAAGACGTGTTCAAAAACCACTGCCAGGTAATCCCATATCTGGGAGCCACACTTTTGTTTCTCTCACACTGTTCAACAACATGATAACTGCTCACACAAGTGAAGGCCAAACAGTGGTCTTGTCACATAACTCAGACATAGGTTATGACATAACTACACCATGTCGTCACATAGATCTAACCTATCCTATCCACTGTACTATTTCTGCACTTACGTTGCCAGCTGAATACCAGAATATGACATTGTGGTCTAAAGGTGAGAATGATGTAGGATTTATTGACTGTATACCTTATCACGCACAGCTAAAAAGCAATAAGCCAGTATATGTCAAGCAGTATCCCATTTCTGTCGAAAAAGCCTCAGCCCTAGATGTCATCATAGGAGATTTATTGACTACAGGAGTGATAAAGCCTACAGTATCTCCATATAATACTCCTGTCAATCCTGTGCCAAAGCCTAACAAACCTGGCGTATGGCGTTTTATACATGACTTAAGACAAATTAATGCAGTCATTATCCCTTTGCCACCTCTGGTTCCGGATGTCCCCAGCATATTGACATGTATTCCATCCACAGCCACACATTTTACCGTGGTGGATTTATGCTCTGCCTTTTTCTCAGTGCCTGTGCATCAAGACACACAGCCGTTATTTGCATTTACACATAGAAATAAGCAGTACACTTGGACTCGTCTGCCTCAAGGCATGATAGACAGCCCTGCTGCTTTCTCAATGGTGATCCGTGCTACCCTGGACAGCTTTACTCCTCCTGAGGGCTGTACTCTGATCCAGTATGTGGACGATCTCCTCCTCTGTGCTCCGAGTGAGGAATTGTGTCAAACTGCTACACACATGCTTCTCCAGCACCTCCAAAAGACTGGCCACAAAGCATCTGCAAAGAAAATGCAGTACTGTCAGACTTCTGTTCAATATTTGGGATTTACACTGTCTCACGGAAAACGTTCCATGACTGCAGACAGGGTCAAAGCTGTGACCTCCGTCCCTCGGCCTACTACACAGAAGGAAATGCTGTCCTTCTTAGGCATGGTGAACTATTGCAGACAGTGGATACCAGACTGTTCTTTTCATGACCACATTCTGCGTGAATGCTGCAAAAAAGACAAGCTTCCTCGAATACTGTGGTCCACAGAAATGACTGCCTCTTTCAATGCATTGAAGGGAGCGCTGACCTCCGCCCCTTGTTTGGGTCTGCCTGACTACCACTTACCTTTCCATCTGTACGTTACAGAGAACGGCACGACCTGCACAGGTGTACTGGCCCAAGAGCATGGCAGTGGCTACCGTCCAGTAGCCTTCTATTCAAAGGTATTGCCAGCAGTAGTTCAGGGGATGCCGGCCTGCCTGAGAGCAGTAGCAGCTTGCTCTATCATGATAAGGGACTGCGAGAAGCTTACACTCTCACATGACACTATTCTACACACCAATCACCAGGTCACGACCATTCTAGCAAACATAACTACACAACACATGACCGCACAACGTCGCTCAGGTTATGAAGCTACACTGACCTCCACAGCAAACCTCACCATAAAAGCGAGCAGCACACCCAATTCACCAGCGCATTTATTGATCCATATGCTGTGTTCTTCTGACCGACAGGATGGCTCAGACATGCTTGATGATCATGACTGCATGACACGAATACAGGAATCCACAGCACCACGTCCAGATTTAGAGCAAACACCTATCCCAGACTCAGCCACGGTTTATGTGGACGGGTCCTGTTCAAGGCCGAATGACAACTCATTTCTTTGTGGCTATTCAGTGGTGACATTGCCTGACATCATACTAGAGGCTCACTCATTACCATTTCACTCAGCACAAAAAGCAGAGCTCATGGCTTTAATACGCGCCTGTGAGCTCCACTTGGACAAGCGTGTGACAATTTACACAGACAGCCGCTATGCGTTTGGCGTCGTACATGACTTTGGCACATTGTGGAGACAAAGAGGATTTAGATCTGCTGATGGAAAACCGATTGCTAATTCTGATCTTGTGCAGAGACTTTTGCAGGCTATACAGCTGCCATCGGCCGTTGCAGTTGTAAAAACGAAAGGACACAGTACAGCTGACACAGACGAAGCAACAGGTAATGCCTTAGCAGACGTGACAGCCAAAGCTGCAGCTGCATCACAGCTCCCACCTCCACAGGAAGTATTATCTGTGCCCCTACAGCTGCCACTTGTTACACTCCCAGACTATTTCGAAACAAATGTTGATTTAAAATTCATACAAGCGCAAGCATCTGCCTGTGATTACACCTATTGGGAGAATAATGGCTGTACCTTAGATGACAGAGATGGCCTATATAAAAACCTTGAGGGTTTGATTGCCCTCCCATCTTCCCTGCTGCCAGTCCTTGTCCGACATTTTCACGGTGTGAGTCATGTCGGACAAAGAGGGGTAATAGGGGCAATAAAATCAAGATTTGTAATTGAGAAAACATTGCATGCAGTAAAAAGCATATTAGCAACCTGTCTAACATGTGCACGAACTAATGTAGGAAGACCAAAAGCAGAACATCAGCATTTACCACAACCAGATTTTCCATTTCATACATTACAAATTGATTTCACACACATGCCAGCACAAGGAAGCATCAAGTACTTACTGGTAATAGTGGATCAATTTAGTAAATGGGTAGAAGCTTATCCAACCTCAAAAGAAACTGCAGAAGTAGTCTGTCAAAAGTTGTGCAATGAAATAATACCCAGATTTGGAATACCTCACCAAATTAACAGTGATAGAGGACCTTCATTTACATCAGAAGTAATTCAAAAGTGTACTAAAACTCTAGGAATAGACTGGAAATATCATGTGCCATACCATCCTCAGAGTTCAGGGGTTGTAGAAAGAATGAATAGGACCATAAAAAATCGCCTGACTAAAGCAATGATAGAAACAGGAATGACCTGGATCAAACTACTTCCTCAAATCCTCTGCGAGATTAGAATGACTCCATCCGCAGCAACCAAATTATCTCCATTTGAAATAATCATGGGAAGACCATTTCCAACACCATGGTCAGCTTCCAGAGGGGCACCGCTATTGGAAGGGGACATAGACACTGCATTGTCCGACTATGTCCACAATCTGGTAGAAACACTGAATAATAACTATCAGAAAGTTTGTCTCTCCCAGCCTCTCCCCTCCACAGATCCAACCCACAAGTGGAGACCAGGGGACGCGGTGTTAGTGAAGTCACTAAAACCAAGGACACTCGGGGAGGCCGCGTTTTCCAGCCCCCAGACTGTACTGGCAGTGACGAGAACCAGCATCCTTACGGACGGACAACCTCAGTGGATTCATGCCAGCAGGGTTAAGACCAGCCCAATCGGACCATCTCAGACGTCGGATCAAGCAGACGACATCTCCGGCGAGCCAGCGCCCGGAACTAGAGCAAATAAACACACACGGGTAGATGACATCTCAGGCGAGCCAGCGCCCGGATCCAGTGCACACACGCAATCACTGATTAACACACAACGTCTGAAAGAGCCACAACAAGGTACTCAAACATCCAGCAGGAATAGAAAGCCAAAAGTACCACATGATGTCTAACCTGATAAAGCTAGACTCACTCCATCCTGATAATGAAGAAAATGAAATGCCCATTGTCATCATACGGCGCTTATTCGATGTCTCTCGAACCTGGGACCAGGCCAGAAGACGACTGAAGAACTGTTTTTCTTATATATTTAGGTTATTCATCATACTTATCGCATTAACCTTAGGATTTTTCTTTGCTATTTTGTATTGTAAACTGCAACCATGTTCACATTTCTGCAGGTCATATTTTGCTGACGATACTTCATGCTCTATTTTGCGAGACACCTACTTAATGCACTCTTCACGTTCCCTAAAATCAGTAAATGACAACATAGACGCCACTAATAAACCATTTTATGCACCCTCTAGAGTAGGAGTCAACTCCTGGTATGAAAATGCTAGAACAGCTGCTCGTGATTTAGGAAACAGCAATTGTTATGTCTGTTCAAAGGGTAATCCAGAACAGGTTATAGTGGGATACCCAATCTCAGGTTTTCCCCTGACAAAGATGCTATTCAAAAATGATGAAAAGGGGCCCTTAACAGTAACCCTGATTGAAGCGGTGCGTGTAGAACTAAGTCCTTTAGATTGTTTACTCATATACACAGGACAAGTCTCTAGTAAGGATGTCAGCATGATTAACGACTCTACCCACCCCTGTAACCCAATGAAGCGCCCCGAAGACCGCACTGAACCTCTCTCGCCCCCAAAACAGGTGCGCCATCACCCAAATATCTTGATGACATGCATCCACCGACCAAAACTTGAAAACATAAATTATGACGCGCAAAACTATACATTTTTTTCTGACTCTCCAGGAGCACGCTGTAACGAAACATGGCTAGCAGCGAGTGTTGACAGGACACAACATAGACATCTGTTTTCTTATCTATATGCATATATAAATACGCATTCAGATAACTCCACAATCCTGCATTCGCCCAACACACTAAACGACTCGTACTGGGGAGGCATATTAAAAGGCTTTACAGCTTCGCTCCTGACCAGACCAATCCCACATGCTTATTGGATGTGCAATAATACCCTTAGAGTGGCTTTACCTGTTAATTGGACCGGTACCTGCGGTCTAGTAACTTTAGCTCAAGAACTACTAATACAACAAACCTCAGATCTGCCTGTATCCAGCAAACGTACAAGACGCTCCACTTACTCACATAACGTTTACATAGATGCTATAGGGGTTCCACGCGGGATACCAAGGGAATTGAAGGCACAAGGGGAAATATCCGCAGGGTTTGTCTCACTAATACCGCATATACAGGTAAACAAAAATGTAGCCTGGATCAATTATGTTTATTATAATCAGCAAAGACTTACTAATTTGACCAATACGGCCCTTAAGGCCCTAGGAGAACAGATGTCTGCTACCTCTTTAATGACCATGCAAAATAGGATGGCCTTAGACATGCTGTTAGCTGAGAAAGGAGGTGTTTGCGCGATGTTCGGAGATGTTTGTTGTACTTTCATTCCCAATAATACAGCCCCTAACGGTTCATTCACACAAGCTATGAATAAACTTGAAGCATTGCAGATAGAACTAAGAGCCAATGCAGGTCACGGTCAGTGGATAGACAAGTGGCTGCAGGACACGTTTGGAAAATGGAAGGAACTAATTGTAGCTTTTGTAACCATTGTAGCATGTATTATTTTGTTTTTGATGATTATTGCCTGTTGTGTGGTACCCTGTGTACGTTCAATGATAACCCGTATGGCTACTAGTACAGCTACTTCAATGTATTTGCAATTGGCACAAATTGACCCAGATTATGTGTCAGATGTCATCGATGATCCTGATGTATGTATTGAGCATTAGATTGTGAATTACTCAATTGTCAAAGAAGAGAATGACGTTTTCTTCTTTTTCTTTTCTTCTTTTTCCAATTTTGATATTAAGCTTGCTCGAAGGACCAGTTACATTTATGATTTGTTTCACATTTATGATTTGTTTCACGTTTATGATTTGTTTCACATTTATGATTTATCTTTATATTATGTTATTACATTCTGTCTTTATACTATGTTATCATTACATGATAAAAGGGGAGAACTGTTATGATATTTTGATACCACGGTAAGCATTTACAGGATATTGTTTTATACAGGAAAACTGTTACTCAATAAGGCCGATCTACTAGTTGTTTTTCTCTTTCTCTGTGACCCAAGAATTAATGTGTAGGACTCACAGGCTGGTACCTCAAGGTCGAAAACACCACAGAGATGAGACCACTTCCTTACTCCCATCCTCCCTTTTTCTTTATCTCCTGGAAAAGGCTCGTTAAAGGCTAGGTGGTTTGTTTCAGAATTCACTAATGAAAGAACTCTGTATTTTATGTCTAGGAGTGTATTTTGCTGGGATGATCATAAATTATAGCTGAACTGATAAACTACACAAGGGATACTTTGCTCAGAAGGCAGGAAGACGTTTCCTTATTTAGTCTGTACCGGTTTGAACTGGGAAAGCTGACACACGAACCTTTTTTTCTCTATATAAACTGCTGTATACCAAATAAACCTTTGAGTTGATTCTGGGAAAGCAATCTGAACAGTTTCTGTATCACTTTGTTCTCCTAGCTGCTCCCGATATCGTAACTAACCCCGCTGAACGGCATACCTGAGTGTTACTTTGAATAATTAGGAGTCTTATAAGGAAAGGACAAACTCTGCTTATCGCTCACGCCATGGAGGAAACCCGGGAAGGCAATTTCCTTCAGCCGCTGCTCT